GAACGAAGCTGATGAGCTAAATTCAAATCGAATCCAAGTTTATTTTTAAAAAGATTAATATACCTGAACCCAAATCAAATGTACTCATTTAAATCCCTAAACTATATATATACTATATAAATGGAGCCAAGCAAAATCTAATATTAAAATCTAACAACCTAATCAAGGCCTCTAGCTCCGATTCCCTTGATTCATCCCATCCCACCATGCCAAGAGAGCATCCTTGGGAACGGGAATGGCTTGAATATTCAGTCTTCCCATTAAATTTAGACCATTAAGAATGCTTTAATTAATTACCATGGATTACAAAAGTAAATTGCGACAATATACAAAAAGGAACTGCAAGAATTTTAAAATAATAAAGGTAAGGAATATACTTACAGTGATTTGGCGAGACAAATTTTCAATCATATAGACACACAGATGTACTCGTGAGGTTTTGACACATAAAGGTAGGATATACTATAGGCTCAAGGCTCCCATCTCAACGAAATAGTAAGCCTTTTCCCAATATCGCAAACTGCGGGTGGGTTGGACTTATTTCCTTCGAGGAAATGAGCGGGATCGAGAATGATTGTCCCATAGTTGCTAACTCAGCGGATGGTCCAATCAATTCTTGACACCTCCTAGGTGTTTCCTAAGGGTGCGGCCGGGGTTTAACCGCAGGTTGTGTGTGCAAAAGTATAGTGCTAAAGCGGGTACTGACATGCACGGCAATTCAAATCAAAACACAACATTAACGGACTTACCTTATCCTTCACGACATGCACTGCCATGAAACCACGTTAGTTAACAAATAATCAAGTTACACTATTACTAAGCCTAAGTCCTTAAGTCTCCAACGGAGTCGTCAAGCTGTCGCGACTTATCTTTTCCCCTTCGGATAGAAAAGGTAGGTCGCCACAGTTACTAAAAAGAGAAACGAACATAAATAATCTTAGAAAAATCAATTATACTTTGTATGCTTTAGATCATCTCTTCATGACTAATACCAGGGTCATTCGTTGCGTTGTATTAAACTCAAAATGATATATAAATTCATAACCGAGGAGTACAGTTCGACTTTCAAACCCTAGAAATGATAGCTTGGCCATAGCCGTCAACATCTCAGTACAAATACAAAAGCAGTAAACATATCCACAACAATTACACGAAGTACGTGCAACTCATCGGCTCAATATACACCTACAGTGAACCCGTCAACAACAATCGACGAAACATTTAGTTTATGTTTGTTTTGCGAAAAATTGATGATTTGAAAAATATTTTCCTAAATGATCGGTTGTATCGCTCATAAAAATGGATATACGAAAAATATTTAGACATAATTTGTTGTCGGTAATAAAAACATTTATCATTAATTAATTATTTTAAGAAATATAAACGATCATTATTAGGAAAATATTTTCCAAATAATTAATTTTTAGCGAGACAAATGAACTAAGCTTATGAGCTAAATTCAAATCGAATCCATTTTTCTATGAAAAAAGATTAATATACCTAAATCTAAATCAAATGTACTCATTAAAATTACTAAACACTATACTCAAGGCCTATTTTCTAATCATTATCCAAAAAAAATTTCGATTTTTTTATTGTACTTTTTATTATTTTTTATTCATTTATATTGATTTATTGTACTCGAGCCCGGTCCGAATGTAATCGGTCCATTCTATCCTCCTTTTATCTCCTTTTTTTTTCTTTTTCTTTTTTATTCTTTCTTTCGTTGTTTCTTTTCTTCGTCTTCCTCAAGTGAACAGCGACCAACAGTCACGATGCACAAAAAGTTGGAATGCGTTCGAAACCGAAGGCGAGCAAGACGAAAACAAGATTATCTAACGATCAAAAGCCCTAAGGTAAAACCCTAATGGCTTATCCGATTTTTGGGAATTTTTTAAAGGTTTTTTCTCATTTTTATTTTTTTGTTTTGAGTTTTTTAACCTAAAATCTAGTGAAATTAAGCCCAAAATTGATTTCTAAACATTTCCTAATTTTCTGATTTTTTTGGAATTTTTCCGAATTTTTCTGAATTTTTTAATTTTCTGAATTTTTTAATATTTTTATTTAATTAAAAAAAATTTGGGATTTTTAAACATTTTCGAATTTTTTTTGGAATTTTCAATATTTTTATAATTTTTTTTGAATTTTGGAATATTTATATTAATAAAAAAACCGGACCGGGTCTCCCGACCCGATCAGACCCGGGTTACCGACCCGCCCGAGTTTTCAAAAGTTGATTTCATATTCTATTTTTTATTCTTTTTTATTCTTTTTCTCTCTTTTCCTTTTCTTTTCTCTTTTTTTTTGTTTCTTTTTTTTTTTCTTTTTTTTTTTTCTCTTCTTCATCCCCTTCGTGCCCATGCACGTGATCCTCTCTGCCCAGAAGACTTTCCCCTGCTTCTTGCTATTCTTCACCAAGTTTCTTCTTCAACTGAGACCACGCCGTGGCCACCCACCACCGGCCGTCGGCTCGGGCCGCCAGCGCTGATGGCAGACGTCGGCATTATGCCGTCACAGCCGGTAAGACATTCCGGGGACCATTCCGACGACCCCAAAAACACACCCCTTCGCCGGCGACCAAAACTTACTTTCCGATTGTTCTACTTTCGGAACTAGTCGCAAACGTTTAACCCAGACAAAACGAGGACAAACAAACAGAGAATGAGGATAAACGACTAACGATTGCGGCCTTGAACCGCTGGCTGCTCCGGTTTAAGGAACGGCATCCCGGCGACGGAAAACACATGCGGTCGACTCGGACATCGTTAACACGCCGCTAAAATCACATGAAAGGAAACCAAAATCGGGGTCAGTAATGGCGTTAGTACAAACCGCGCACACAACAAAGTTTTAGAAATTGGTTTCACAAGAACAGAATCGAAAGTTCATTCGGGCATTTCATCGAGCATGTGGGGTGTGACTAAAAAAGAGATACAGATTTCATTTTGACACGGTTTGGGGCACCAACTCAGCATATAACGTCTAAAAGAATGTCTTTGAGTGTCAAACGAGCATTATCCATGGACGGAGCCCGACAAGCACTGAACAGATTCGGTATGTCTGGTGTCCGAGAGGCAGGGGAGGAAGGGGGAAAACAGGGGAGGACAAGGATGAAAACCCACCTGGTTCGCGTCTGTTCGAGAAGAAGCGCGGCGGCTGTTAGGTTCGGCGGGGTCTCGAGTGGCCCTCCGGCGAACGGGTACGACTCGAAGTTCGCCGATTTCGCCTAACTCCCTCTCGGCCTCCTCTTTCTCCTCTCCAAAGCTCTTTTTTTTTGGTTTTTAGGCCCCACGTGAAGCTCCAACGACTGGAAACAAAGGGACGGATAGCTCAGGCTCTCGATGCACGGCGGAGAGGGGGAGGAGATTCGCCCGGCCGCCTCGGATGGAGCGGCCGGAACACTCTCCTCTCTAAAGACCCCTCGATCCTCCTTTTCTTCCTCAAACTCCCTCTCCGATGCTTTCCGTTGCTCCCCCCTTAAACAGAGACCAAAAACCTCATTTTTATCCTTGGTCGTCCTCTCCTCTTGGGACCACTGACGCTTCATCTCTGCACAGAACGCGCGCGACGGACGCTGCTGCTGCGCAATGCTCGTCCCTGTACCAGCGCGCCGTTCCTTCTGCTCTGTACCTGCGCCTCCTGTGGTCCCCCTTTTGTTTGTCTTTCTCACGATCGTGAGGGAGACAAACAGAAGAGAAGAAGGCTGGGCCTAAAAAAAAGACAATGCAGCTGGGCTGTGCAAGGGGAGTTGGGCCAAAAATAAAGAGGAGGGGATGGTCCGAAAGTGGGCTGAAGAGAGAGGGAAAAGGAGGGGCCCAGTCGAAAGAGGAACAAACAAAAAGGGCTGGGCCCAAGCGAAAATAAAAGGAAAGGGATCGAGGCTAGGGCTGGCGAGCCAGGTCTAATCGGGCCAATTTAATTTTATTTTCGATTAATTTTTAATTTTTTAATAATTTTTTTTGAATTTTTGCGATATTTTCTCTCTTTTGCACTAATTTGACCAATTTACATTTAAGCGTTAATTTAACGAGTTGGGCAAAATTAGGTGTCAACAGCTAGGGTAGCGCATGATATCCATTTTGGTTCTGTCCAGAACTGGTTTTCTGTTCCCAGAAATAGTTTTGGACCAGAAACCCGTTTGGTAACGCAATTCCATTTTTCTATTTCTGAAATAACTTTTTGTTCCATAACCGATTTTAAACCAAAAATCAGAACAAAAAATAAGTAGGTTTTCTATTTCTAGACCAAAAATGAGAATCATTTCTGAGAGAACTCTGTCTTCAAAACTCATGTTCATCTGGAAGTCACGATCTTTGAGGTGGGAAAAAAAAAGCAAAAAATCAAAAATTTCAAAACTTTACAGAATGGTTTAGAATCTATGGCTACCCACTTTGAGCGAAATTTAAATATTTTTAGGTGCGAAAAAAATAAAAAATAAAAAATAAAAAATTTCACAAAATGGCTTAGAATACCTATGGCCACCCACTTTGAGCGAAATTTAATTTTTTTAGATGCAAAAAAAAAATAAAAAAAAATAAAAAAATACAAAATTTAAAAACTTCACAGAATGTCTTAGAATACCTATGGCCACCCAATTTGAGCGAAATTTAATTTTTTTTAGGTGCCGAAAAAAAATTAAAAAAGCAAAAAATAAAAAATTTCAAAACTTTAGAGAATGGCTTAGAATATCTGTCGCCATCTACTTTGAGCGAAATTTAAATATTTTTAGGTGCCGAAAAAAATAAAAAAATTCAAAACTTAATAGAATGGCTTAGAATACCTGTGGCCACCCACTTTGAGCGAAATTTAATTTTTTTTAGATGCAAAAAAAAATAAAAATAAGCAAAAAAGCAAAAATTTCAAAACTTCACAAAATGGCTTAAAATACTTATGGCTACCCACTTTGAGTGAAATTTTATTTTTTTAGGTGCCTATAAAAATAAAAAAAGCAAAAAATCAAAAATTTTAAAATTTCACAGAATGGCTTAGAATACCTGTGGAGCTTGTGTCAGAGCGAGTGAGCGCGCGCACGCTTCGCAGAGCTACATTCTGCTCTTCACTCAGGTAATCCACGATATCGTCACTCGTAAGGTCGATGTGTCGATCTCGAACACTTCAGTCCCTTTGGTTCCGCTTAACTTGCCTCAATGGGTGTTGGTCCAACGAGGGAGGTTTCGGCTTTGAATTACAAGGAACTGAGGAGGGCCATGGCGTTTTTGCTTGAATGGCCGTAGTTTCTCACCCCTTGTGGAATGATGGAGTTTATGCATATGATATTACCCGTGGCGGTTGCTTTGGAGTTGCAGGCTTCAATGTTGAAGGTCCAGTTCTTCAGCATGATTTATTCCTATGATCCTGTTCTTTGCCACATGGTTTTGATGTTGTCTCTACGTTTTGTAGATGCTTTTGATGGACAAGAGCGTCAAATTGCTCGTCGGCTTGTCTCAGTTTCAAGGGAAGCACAAGGTCATCCGGTGTTTCGGATGCTTGCCCTTCATTGGTTATTGGGATTTTTCAGTGGCATGTCGAATAGTGTAGTTGAGAGAAAGAACACGGATGTTGATATGGCTTCAAGCTTCTATCCGACTGTTTTTGATCCTCTTGCCGTGAAGGCACTGAAGCTCAACCTTCTTGCCTTGTTCTCATTGTGTCTTGGAAGCCAAAAATCTGAGGATGTCTCACAGGCGGATTCATTGTCTGTGGTGAATCTGTTCAAGGATGGTCTTGTCTCTGTGTCTGCTTTTAAATGGATGCCTCCATGGAGCACAGAAACTGCGGTGGCATTTCGCACCTTCTATAAGTTCTTAATAGGCACGCTCTCCCATTCTGTTGACGATTCCATCAAAGCAAAAATGCTTATGGACTCCACAATGTTCTACTTTTTGCAGGTATAGAATGCTTCAGATTCCCCACTTTGTCCAATTTCTTCCTTTCCTTGTGTTATGGCCTTACTCTGCCTCTACGTCTGTTTATCGTTCATCACTTTCTGCATCACTAATATAGGCTGGATTTCTTACGACAGGATTATATTAAAGAAAATTTCAATCATTTGCATAGGAAAAACTAAAAGGGAAAAGAAAAACCTCAAGCAAATGCATGTTGTTACTACTTGAGGGAGGTCAATTTTATGAGATGATTTTTATCTTGCATATCACCAAATGCCTGAAAGAGTGCATATTTTATGAAACTTTCTTTTCTTGGAGATGACGATGCCTGTACTCAAAAGGAAATGTCAAACCCTTAGTAAACTGCGGCTTCTGGTTTCAGAAAGGAACTACGACCTTAGAATATACGCTCTACTAATTCTTTTTCCTTTTTAAAAAGGGACGAAAAACATGCTGAGTTATTCTCCTTCTAGAGTTTTGGTTTTGAGGCTACTAATTCTAGTGCTTTGCATGCACTATTGAGTCAGTTACAGGTAGTCAATAGAATTGCTTGGTAGTCGTAAAGTGAAGATGATTTATGAGTTTAAGATAGATGAATTATGAATAACTATTTGAATTAGCAACCTTGCAATACAATGTTTGATTTGGTATTGTCTATCTTCCTTTGATTTTTCATAATATTCCATTCCCTTTGGGCAGCATACTATTGCAGGATGGTGGTAGGATTTCATCTGAGCGAGGTATTTTCACATTGTTTTAATGCTTTCTCATATTATAGGGGATGATCGTGGAGATGACTATGGAATTTCAACAGTTAGTTCCCACTATTGTTTCCTTCGTCAACAGATTCTTGGGCTGTAATAAGCACTGTTGGTTGGGAGAGCGACTGCTCCAGACACTCGATGAGCGTTTGCTTCCGAAAGTCAATGTAGATTATAAAATAGTTTTCTACTTTGCGATTCTTGATAAAATTGCCGAAAACGTCACAATTCCCCCTCGTGGACTTCTAGAACTCCTTACCAACTTAGTCGTCTTCCTTGTCAAGAAACATGGCCCCGACACTGGCTTAAGATCTTGGTCGCAACGAATTAAGGTTCTTGGCATATGTAGGACAATGATGATGCATCACCCCAGTTCTAGATTGTTCCTCAGACTATCTCGTCTCCTTGCCTTTTCCTGCCTTTACTTCCCTGATTTGGAGGTTCGTGATAATGCAAGGTATGGGGATAAAAGAAATTTTTTTTTTTCTGAGATGGTGGTCAACCATTATTAGGATGTCATTATAGGTTAAGCTAAGGTCCTGCTTATCGGGGCCTAGTGGAGGGAATATGTAAAACTCTTCCAGTGATAAGACAGGACAAGACTCTATTAATACATGTCTTTTTCAGAAATAAATTTCCACTTGGTTTATATTTTGAGAGACAAAAATGAATAACTTTTACCTGATTTAGGAAGTGCTTCATATATGGAAGACAACATGGAGGGTATGGCTCAAAAGCTTCCTCTTGTTTACTTGATGGATTGCACAATGAATGATTGCACTCTGATTTTCAAAGCAATGAACCAGGTATGTCTTGATTTAGGAAGTGCTTCCTCTCATTTGAAGTTCATTCATTGCTTTTTTCTCATTACCTCTACTTTTAGATGAATGATCTTGATTTTGTCTTGGTTGTTGAAATTATTTGCTTAATCCTTCATCTCTGGATTTTTCCTTATACTGTAATTTTGTCAATTGTTCGCATGTAATACGGGGTGCAAAACTGCATATGGACAGGGCATCTCTAATAAAATGCGTGAACTGTTTCTAGAAAACTCCTTTATTAGATAAAGAAACGAAAGACCTGGTAGCATTTTCTTGCGAGGATACTATCCTAAATTTTTTTTTAAACTATTCACTCAAAGGAAGGTCTGTGAAGGAGCCATTTGCCAATTTGAACTAAACAATGCTGAGTGAAGTTAGGCCATTCTTTTCTTATTGATCTTGAAACTACAACACTCTTTGTTCAGCTTAGTCAGTTATCCAAAGTTGATGGAGCCATATTTGATACTCAACAATCCATAAATAACCCCTTAAGAATCTCAACAGCCATTTTCTATATTTTTTTATGTTATATCAACTATCTTAGTGTGTTAAACTTTTGTACCTTTCTTTTGTGACGAAAGATGTATTGGCTAAATGCTAATAATATGGGCAATATCCCTTGCCATCATACATCCAGACCAATTCTGGATTCAGAAAACCAAAGCTGGCGATCAATACCTTTGGGAAGGGCTAGGTGTAATCAGAGGGTTGCCCGTGTAAGTTAGCGAAAGTATAGGGTTGCATTGTGATTTTTCAAAAAGCTTTGTGAATAATTTGGAAATAACAAGTTTTTATCAAATTAGATATGATATCTGCATCTAGAAAAGCATGAGTTTACCTTGATCAATTCGCAAAGGCAATAGATTAGTAGTCCCAAAAAACCTAGAACAAAGCTTGTGCATTCTGAATCGAAGTATATTACTCTATGATCTGTCTCCTTTGGAAAGAGGCACCCAATCTATGGAGCAAATTGGCAAGATGCAAATTTGGAATTCTTCTAAAAATTTGCTTCCATGCATGGATGATTCCTCTCATTTTGTTGCTGGCAGTCTTTTTAGGTTCAATATGTTGACTTATACAGCTTTATATTGCTAAGAAGTTATCAATATGGTCTGCAAATGTTCGATGACAACAAGTCTCACTTTTGTGATTTGGGATTTGCAGAGAGAACTTTACCCAGCTTTGGTGTTGTTTCCAGCAGAAAATAAAACTTGTGTGTCTTATGACGGCGATATGGCAGTTGTGTCTATTGTCAAGTTCTTAGCTGACTATGGAAGTTATTCTCATAACCTCATCAATGAGACGGGTAATGCTTTCTTCTTCTGTAGGGAGCTCTGCCTATTGTAGGACATCACAGTGTTTATTCAATGCTGAAGATGAATGAATTCGCAGGATGGTACCCTATTATGAGAATTGAATAGATCCTCGTCAAGAGCATGTCCAGCTTCTGTATCTGGCTGCTTTTGGACCATATTACTTTCAGTCAGAAATTGACCGTTTCTATTATTCTTAGAACACAGTTTCCCATAATTGCAGAACATCCATTATTAGGTTCCATCCCCTTTTCTTGATGATATCAGCCAGTGTTGCACAACTTTCTGGGCTGAATGTTCTCTTTTTCCTTTGTTAAAAAACCTTAAGTTTGGACTCTGGTTACTGTTATTCTACCTCAGTTGATCTGCATTCCTCAGAATTTTTCATATTGCCTGTTTGTAGATTGGTCAAAACGTTTTATGCTGACTGGAAACCTGATTACCCTTTTTCATAGGAATCCTCTGGACTCCACCGGCAAAATATGGCGTGAGTCAAAATTCTTTCAGCACAACATCATCCAATGTGGTTCACGAGGAAAATCTCGCAGGAAAGGACCAGTTACAAGACTTTTTGCTGCAAAATGAGGCAGCAGACAGAACAGTCGAGTACAGTTGGACCAAACTGCCTAAATCGAAAGGCCCAGATGGAGCAGCTTCCCGTGTCTTGGTAGGTTCCATCCTTGTTGCTACTGAGAAACTTCTTGGCATGCACCCATTTGATAACTCCCTGATTCTTATTGTGAAAGCGGTTAAAGTCACCGGGTTTCAAGGTCTGATTATTTTCAAGGTCTGATTATTAACAAGCCTATTAGCTGGGATATTCTGCATGAACTGGAAGAAGGGTCTGAGTTTCTTAAGGAGGCACCTCTTTCGCTTGGTGGGCCCCTTGTAAACCGTAGACTGCCTTTAGTCAGTTTAACTCGAGCCGATAAGAACCAGTACCTGGAAATCCTACCTGGGATGTGCTTCGTCGACCAGGTGGAGACGATTAGAGAGATCGATGAACTCAAGGCAGGAAATGGATCTGTCGCTGATTATTGATTTTTCTCGGGTTGTGCAAGCTGGGGTTGGGACCAGCTATTCGATGAAATTGATAAAGGAGCTTGGAACGTCTACCAGGACGCAATGAAGGAAGTTACCTGGCCGAGACCATGATCTCGTTCGTTTTGTCGTACCATCCAGTTAGAAATCCTTTCTGTCGGAATAACTTTGGAAAGCTCGTTATAGGAATTTTAAAGGAGCGTCTGAAAGATGGATGCGTCTTGTCCTAGTTGTATTTCATTATACGTCCCCCAGAGGGACGTTGAGATCACATTCAGGTATCCCTTTCAGATGTTTAGTTTCATTCAAATTGTCGGTTTAAATGTACATATAGCATTCTGCTTGAGGTATTTTTTCTTCTTTTCTTTGGTTGTTTAACCAACTAGTCATTTCAGTTCGTGAACTCCTTTCTGGTCGATCTTCAGACAACATTGCAATGATTTAAGCACCGTCACGATTTGCTGAAGACTTTTAAGAGGCCAATTGCAGAAATTTCGAATAAAAAAGTGAGTAAAGCAGACATTCAAGATACCAAGATCGCTTAAATAGAGTCTCCCGCACAAGTTCGGTATTCTTAATATTGAAACTTAGCTTTATATTCAAAGGCTGTGATGCGAGTCATGAAGCAAGTAAACAACAGATATTAGCATCTCTAAGGCAGGTGTACAAGCAACTCTAGATGCATGGACATGAATTCTACTCGCTGTGGGAGGGCATTTTGACAATTCTAAACCACTCACAGTGAGAAAATTGCTCTAATTGAGGGAAGGCCTAGAAACTTAAATTTTTTTCATTGACTTTATTGTTTCCTTGCTGTTGTTGATTAAAGATGCCTTGTTCGTCGGTTGTCCTTTAAGCAGCACTATGTAACTTTCGTCAAACTATATTTCGAGGTTTCATCTGCTGTGTGTAATGATTGGTGACCTGATAAACTTTCTTCATTGACTTTATTCTTTCCTTGATGTTGTTGATTAAAGATGCTTTGTTTGCTGTTGTCCTTAAGCAGCACTATTTAACCTTCGCCAAGCTATATTTCGAGGTTCCACCTGCTATATGTAATGATTGGTGACCTGATTTACCACCTTGTCCATCACATTGTAATTAAATGTTCATCATAAACATGAAGATGCTCCTGCTATCGCATTTGATACTGCAAAATTGAAGTTTCACGTTGCTTATGCAAAAATCTTGAAACCGAGGGTTCACTTTCCTGTCTTCCAGCTCTTACTGTTGTTTATTTGTTGGAATGCATATATGCAGGTGCAGGCGAATTATATTAACTGGAGTAAGTCTTGCAGCTAAGCTCAGAAGCGAGAAATCTGTTTGGTGGCTCTTATGTTGGTTATCAAAGAGGTGGTACAACTCTTGATCCCAGAAATACTTGCTATATGACTGTCAGGCAGCTTCAGTAATTTGGCTGTCTGCGACTAGTACTCGAAGTCATGGGGAAAAAGAAGGTATTTAGTAATTTCTCTGATCAGTTTATTTTATGAAAAATGTTGGGATTCCTTTTTTGGCTGAGTACTTAAATAATTTTTCTGGCCAGTCAACTTTATGCAAATTCATAAAGGCTCAAAGATGTGGGAGCACGTCCTGCATTGTCCTGCTTTGGCTGGTGCTTGGGATTATGAATTTCACATGGCTATTCAGTATGCCAAAGGTATGAGATGAAACTGGCTTTGAATGCCTCCATCTACAATAATTGGGGAGGGATGAACCTTGTTCTGCATGATGATGTCTCACCTCAAGTTGGTCGAGTTACTGCTGCTGTTACATTCTCTATTAGAGTTGCTTTCGAGTCCATGTTTTCTGAGGATTAAGAAGCAACAGTTAGCATTTGAAGTAAAAAAGCTGTTTAGAGAGAATCGAAGTTACATATAGCTTGATCCTTGGTGGTTTTATCTTCTTCTCTTTTGTTGTCGCCTTGTCGGGAATACTTAGTTTTGTTTTTGTAGAGTAATCTTTTGTAGTTCTCTCTTGAGACTGTTAACTATTATGTTGATTCTGGGCTTGTAAGGGCATTAGTCCTGATTTAGTCATGCTAAGCATTTGAATTGATCCACATGAACGAAACCGTATGAGAACCGCGGCTCGGTTCCTCCCTCGGTAGCATCGACACGCGACACGACACGACACGCCGATACGTCATTTCTCAAAAAATAGAGAATTTCAACACGTTGGGACATGTTATATATTAAATATATATTTTTATATATACATGATAAATTATCATTTTTATGATTATTTTAATCAAATTAATTTGATTTAAATTTACAAATAAATAAATAATAAAAAAAGAGTGCCGGACGAATGTTGCTCCTGGAGAGTGTCTCTGCTTCGTAGAGTATACCCCATGCTGCAACGGTAGGGGAATACTGCATAAGCTTATGAGCTCGACTGGAATGGTATGTCTAGCTAAACATACTCACAAGTGGGAGTGAGTCAGGTTGGATACGGATCATTTAAGATTTTCAAAATAGGTCAAAAGGAGTTTAACATCTACATGGGTCTCCGTGGGTTTGCACCTTAATTCATATTCGACCTATTTAAATTATTGGTTGAAAGCCGAAATGTAACGATGAAAGTATAACTTCAACACAACCTACATGCAAAGGGAGACAACTCGTCGTGGCCATTGCTGGTCCCACCACCAGCATTGCTCGCGCATCGGTGGCGTCCCCCATCGCTCGTCGCTACCATTGCCTGTCCATTGAGCACTGCGGCCATTCTCTGTCTTGGATTCGATGCCGACGTTGCCCTGTTCCCCGCAAGTCTGCACCTTCTGAGCGAGGACTGGTGGGTGCTCGCGCTCTAGCTCCACATGGCGGTGCGCGACTAGGCAGCGGCGGCGGCACTGCTAGAGGCGACGAAGGGCTGGGCGGAGGGACGAAATGGGGATGAATAGGAGGAGGAGGAGGCTAATGTGGGGATCCAGGAGGTGATTTCAGGTGGGAAGGCGAGCAAGCTATTTTAAGTTGCATATACAACGCAGAATCAAACTAGCTCGCAGCAATGAAACTTTTCATCCAATCTTTTTTATTTTGTTTTAATTTGCCAATTTTTCAGATTTCCTTCGGCCTATTCTTTTTGTTGGTATTTTGTCCATATCCGTATTTTCTTTCTTAATATTACAAATTTTGATGAGTCTGAGTATTTTTAAATTTAACAGTATTTTCAAATCTTTTTAATGCTTGTGCATCATCCCAAGCGTAGTCTTTTCGACAAGTGCATGGAGAAATAATATAAATATTCATAATCAGAACTCGATCCGTCCATAACCCGACCTCCTAACCAATCCACACAGGTGTTCCTAATCGTCAACATGACACTCGCCCACGTTTTCACGTTGTTCATGTGCCAAACAAAATCCTAATTCACGAACCAACCCGAGCTCTCTCACCAACTAGCCAAGTTGGTTCGTGGAGTGGCCCATTCTTTAGAAGTAACAACATAAGGAGAAAATTTGATAAGAATTGGAACTCGGATTAGGTCGGATCATTTTCGACCCAATTGATCCACCCATTTTACGGATCTATTCACAAGTCCCGTGCATTTGCATGTAATTTAATAAACAATTGGGAGATTGGTTCCACCGGTTTCAATTTTTTTTCAGACTTCCCATGACTTCCTATTTTTTTGGCTTAATTTAGGATTAGAGAAATTAAAAGGCCCAAGAAGCACTGATTTAAAAAGGAAACAAACACTCACAAATCTCAATAAGTGGAATTTTTTGAATATAAAGAATGAAAAACAAATTAAACGCCGAAATATGAATAATCACAAGTAAAAAAAAAATATTATCATCGACCGAAAGGAATATCTATTAAATTTTGAAGATGAAAAAAATACTTAAATTGTTGGCTTTACTACAAATAATGAAATCTTTGTGCAATAACATATCTCTTCACTCCTTTCGCTTAAATCAAATTGCGCTAGCAGAACTCTCTGATGACCTAAAATAAAAAATCGCCGATATCGATTATGCATAAAAACAGATGAATTATAGAAGACATCAAAATTGAATAATAAATTAGCTAGACTACAAAATTACCCCGTTGATTGAATCTTTTAGATGAAGATATGTAAGGACCTAAAAACATCACAAGATCAATCTTAGGATCACGCGAGTCAAAGCAAGACTTAAAAAAAGAAGAAGAGATTTTCCATCGAATTCCATATAAAGCTTTCTTTTAATTGAAAAAAACATCTCCTAAAATCTTTTGTTTGACCGAGAATAATTTCCAATATTTTGAAAGGAGCAAGAGCATGTTCACAGTTTCCGGAAACCTCGTAGAATGCGTCTCTCGTTCGGGGTCATCGAATCCTGCCCAGCAGTGATCGGTCGACGCGACACATTCCATTGTCCCCGAGCTCTGAGCACCGGACCGAAAGCAGCATCGCCGGATTTAAGGAACTCCGTTTCGATTCACCGGCGGTCTATCTACGTCGGGAGCAAAGGCGCGCGCCCCAGGGAGAGACAGAGGCGGGGGGAGATGGGAAGGTCGGAGGTGGTGGAGGCGGAGGCGGAGAAGCTGATGGAGGGGCACATGAAAGGGAACGACTCGTCCCACGAAGCTTGGCACGTGTTCAGGGTCAGAGACCTGGCCCTCTCCCTCGCCCGCGAGGAGGGCCTCGCTTCCCGCCCTGACTCCATGGAAATTGTCCGTATGCTTGACCTGATCTCTCTCTTTTGTGTCGTTCGGTTAAGTGGCTGCACAAACGAGAGCGACCCACTTTGCTATTTGGAACTTGGGATAGGAACACTAAAATTTTATTAAGATCACTCTCAATTAGGTTCTGAACTCTGTACTAAGTTTTGTAGTTCATGGTGAATGTCGGCGGTTAATGGGCAGAAAAAAAATGAGATAACCATAAACAGTATGGATTAAAGCGAAATAGTGTTGTTATCGCACTATCAGCAGCTTAGTATGTTCCTAGGAGCATCGGAGATGAGCAATGAAGTAGACGCTTGCTGGGTTTGATGTAGCTCGGTTTTGCGGAGCTTGAGTGGAGGTTTGTAATCTGAGATTTGTTTGGTGGGTGATTGGGTCACAATTCTTATATTGATTTGAAGAAATGCATAATGTTTTGAAAGGATGAATGACAACTACAAGCGCAAAACGTAATGGGTTCCTCATAAATGTTGAATGCCTTCTGCTCCACCAGAATGCTACTTCAAAGTGGTGACCTTTGGAGGGAAGTGATTTTAGCTAGAAAGCCATCAGTTTGTGCCTCACCAAGGTTCCTAATTTTTAACTTTGCCAATCTTTGCCACCCTTTCCTTGAATTGATTTGTGCCTCAACATGATATGTTATATTTAGTTCTATAATGCATGTAGTAGAACGTTACGGTTCATGAAACTGATGGGACACGAAGTACCTCAAGATTATTCACATATTTAGTCAGTGAATAATTTAAGTATGGATCTGCTTGTTCTTCATTGGTGACTTGGGAAGTGAGGAGCAATATTCTTCACATAAACCCCAGTACACACTTTCAGACATGCATGAACAACACAAGGAGACAGCATTATCACATAGATTCTTGAAAGATAATTAATTCTTTTGAATTGCTTAAGTGGTGTTGAATTTCTTTGTCTGGTTTTTTACAGTCTGGGGAATTATGTTGCAGGTAGAGAGCTTGCTGCACTTCTTCATGATATACGTCAGCTCTCTCTCTCTCACTTGAAGACTGCATATTTACACAATCATGAGTAGGATAACCGGGCTGACTTTGGCATTCATGCTCTTTTTCCAACTGAGGAGTTAAGGTGTTGACCTCAAGGGCTGTGGGTTTTTTTTTTTTTAAAACAAAAAATCTGTTACAAGCAGTCTGCAGATGACTTGAGACTCTTCCCCTTTCTTTTACAAAATGCATTTACATGTCTGTTAATTATCTGAACCTACGATAGCCAACCCCTTTTCATAAAGGTCCTCTGGACTAATTCCTGTGCATGCATATAATCTACTGTGACATTGCTTTCGTGTGCTTAACCATCACTTTTATGATATTCTGCAATTTATGTTGAGAAAGAACTTATTTTTAATATTAGTTTCTCATTGCAGGTGACTACAAGTATCTAAGGTCTGGATTTTCTTCTTGATCAGCCATAGAGGTAAGATTGCACAGTATTGTTTTGAGTGTAATTTTTCACGGAGAACCCGTCTTTGTATCATATGGATACATATGTTTGCTTATCAACATTGCATTTCATCCCTGATATCTTAAGCTTTGTCACATATGCAACTTAAGGAAAGGTATGGGCATGTTGCAATGCTAATAAATTGTTGTTTATTTTCTCTAATTCAGTTTTTCAGCGTCACCATCTGTGTTTCTGTATTTCCCATGCAGGGATCCATCTGAGGAAAAGATTGTTGAAAATTTCCTTGAGGAACAGGGAGTGGAGAAAAGCAAGAAGATCAAGATCTTAAGGATAGTAAGGGGAATGGGTAAGGGTTTCTTTTTCCTTCTCGACAGCTAAGTAAGAAGGGGAATGGGTGATTTTTTTTTTGGAGTTTTTTGCTTGCTCTACCTTTAGTTGACCGTGTCTTTGTTAATTCAACTCAATTTAATTATGTGGATGACGCTTGAGTATGTAAATTTTCTGAGTATGATGTTTTGTGGTATGTGCTATGCTCGCAGCATGAGACATAGACCTTTTATCTTATTGACCTTGGTTTGTGAAACACCTTCTCTTTTGCTGGAAATGTCATCATGAAGCTGTGAAATGGTTTGTTACGACTCTAAATATCAAATATTTCTATCTGCAGATAGAAAAACGGTTATTCCTTTGGAGGAGGTTTCATTGGTAATCACATCGTGCAGGAAGAGATTTGGAATTACTGCAGTACCTAGATTAATAGATTTGGCCACCCATTGATTTATAGTTGCTAATGTGAATAGGTTGTCCTTATTCTATAAACGTGCTCTTTGGTGACTCATATAAGTGTAGGTGTGGCTGGAATATGGTTTGTGTTTATAGGTGCTATAGTAAATCTTGAGATACTTGTAATTAAATTCGGAGCTTATTAGTTTTGTGTTGTATCATTCACTCCATCCTGAGAGAGAAGAAAAGCAATAATTATGGCTCATCAGATTATTCTTATGGTTTACCAGCAGTTTAGCAGTCTTGTCACAGTTAAATAGATTATTTTCAAAGAAGCTCTTTGATGATCATCTCATTCCATCAATTATTTTTTATCTAAGCATCACTCTGTCAAGATTATCCTTTTGTATCTTTGGGATTTGGAAGTCCACTATAAATTACATATTAGTTATGTTGGTGCGAATTCTTATATGGCAGATTCTGGCATGGTCAGGTTTCAAAAATGAGATTAAGGGGCTTGCAGAAAATGAAGTATTTCCAGAATTTGGGGTCGTGCAGGATGCTGATCGTCTTGATGCCATTGGGGCCATAGGTAATAATAAAGAAATCTTGAGTAGTATTTTCTTGATCTTGCCTATGTATATTCCTTTGTCTAATTGACTTTTTGTGTTAGAAATTGAGAAATACTGAAAGTTGAATGACGCCTTGTGATGTTTACCCATATAAGCTAGTTGTGTGTCCTTCCCTGGCTGGTTTTGTGGGCTGTTCTCTTTGCTCCATTCACTTCTCTGTTTGTGATCGAAAGAAAAAAAGCACACCTTGTTATGCAAATTAATGCATATCTGTTGCCTTCTAACTGCATCTGTCCTTGCACTGGTTTTGAGATACTTTTGTATGACATAAGGTCGCGTGCAGGAATAGCTCGTTGCTTCACTTTCGGGGGAAGCAGAAACAGAGTTCTCCACGATCCTGCCATCCAGCCACGATCAGCTCTTTCCCAGGAACGCTACATGAAGAAAGAGGAGCAGACTACCTTGAATCATTTTTATGAGAAACTTCTGAAGCTGAAAGATTTGATGAAAACAAAGGTAAAAAGGTTGGGTTCCAGTATATAGGACCTACTTTCATTGGTATTCGTTTTTGTAGTAATTCCACATGCTGGCTCTTTCCAACGGTTGCTACATTCTTTTCGAAGCTGATAGATGACCATTTAAAATATACCTTCTTTCTGATTGTGTGGGGGTTTGAAACGCTCAGGCTGGACAAAGGAGAGCCGAGAAGCGGCACAAGTTTATGCTCGAGTATCTAGAAGAGTTCTACGAAGAGTGGGATGGGCGAGCCTAGATTAGGTAACTGATTCTCTTTGACAGTGTTCTTGGATTCTACGACATTTAGATGCTTAGCATTTCCAATTCTTGTGGGTAGGTCTTTGATGTTGTTACTGTGGATCTGCAGGTGATACTGAAGAGGTATTATCACCACCACCATTTCCAATGGTTAAGCCCTTACGTATTACAATACCGAAATGTATTTACAGTAAATCTCTATAGTTGAATCCAATTTTACCAAGTTAGTTGTCGATGCATTGTAATCATAAACATTTTTTACCTACTAGCTTATTTAATTCCCTTCTATGCTACATTTGTTAGAATTCTGGTCGCAGTTGCCCATTTCAAAACTGTTGCTATGTTTATTATAACAGAAGACGGAATGCCATCTAGATTGCATTTCGTCGAAGATGAGACATTCTCTAGACGAGCTAGAGGTCAATACCGAATCATGACTCACGAGCAGTATGGGTTTCATGGGGATGTGGATGATTTTGTGCTGGTATTTTTTATTGTTTCTTCGAAACCGTTTCATCTTGATGATTATTTGGCTCTATGAAGAGCAATTTTATGCACACTTCAGACATAATGGCTAATAACGGGGAAAGCACTGCAAGAGAGTATGAAATGGAGAGTGTAGTGCGAGTAAGATGATGTGAGAACCTGGGAGCTAGAGAAATAAGATTGGTTGTAGTGTTGGTCTAGTGATGAAGTAACAAGCACATATGCGAACATGCGTATCGATTAGGTGTGACAAACAATTGAGATTTTTACGCATCGCGAGCTGTAAATAATTTTTCAATTTGGTGTATCTGCTTCAGTTTTAGTCCATACTACGTGGTCATTGAAGTAAATCCTAACTAATGACAAGAGATACACCAAATAACTGAACGTAAATCTTAGTGAATCTTCCGCAATAAGCCTTAACTGTCTCAGGGATGAATTCCACTCAGAGGCAATTCATAAATTTTTCATGAGTGACGTTAATAATCCATAGTTGTCCCGAATTTTTTACAAGCAAGAAATTCAATTACAGAAATTTTAGGTAAATGTGTAAAGACAAAAATTAAAATGTTAAGCACGTGCAAAAAGCACTTGTGACATAGCTAGTTGAATTAAAGCAGAAAAAACCAAATCAAAAAAGAAAGAAGGTTTTAGGGGTTTTAAGCTCCCTCAAAGCTCGAGAGGCACCGACACTAACACATCGCGGCGCTGCTCTTCGAGTCGAAGTGCGCAGAGGGCGAGGAGAGTGAGAACCGAGAAACGAGGAGGTTCCACCTCTTCCCATGGCGTTCTTGTTTCAGAAATTTCAAGAGGTAACTCTCCATCTCTCTCTCTGATCGACGTTTGAGTAGATTCTTCAAACGAGTCCCACACGAATTCGGGTCTTTTCAAGAATTTGTGCAAGGGATTAGCTGAAGCTGCTGTAAATTTTTTTACACCCGCGATTCATTGGGGTTCCAGCATTTTACGTGAACGGTTTAAGACGTGGGTTTGGTCGAAGCACGGCAAAGTAATGCCCATGAGGTCCATTCGTGTAGCGTTTCGCTGGCTGGCGCTTTCCTGTGGATTCTTGTTGTGCCGTTTCGAATCGGCAAGTAACTCGGTGTGCCCAATTATTGTGCCGTTGCAGGCCGTGAAAAATTTTGCGAAGAATCCCATGTTCGCGAGAGATCCGAGGCAGCTCCAATTCGAAACAGATATAAATCGCCTGTTCCTATACACCAGGTGACTCTCGTGTGATTCTGTGAAATTAGGCTTTTTTTTTTTTCATTTGTTTGCTGGAAGTTGAGGCTTATGGTAGGCTTATTGACTGTCAGCATATTTGGGCATTGCTTTTTTAGTATAATAAGCTTTGGCAGTATTCTTTGTATGTTCATAGTTTTGTTGTCTTTAGTGCAATGTTCGTGGGGTGCTTGTAAAAAATCCCTGGGGAACTGTTCATTGGGGGTCGGTTGCCGTTGAACTTGGATCACAAACGATAAAATCTTGACTGTTTGTTGAAGATGTATGTAAAGACACTTTGTATTGGGATTACAATGACACAGTACAGAAACAGTTTTTCTATTTGAGTGCTGGTGCCATTTATCATTGCACTTATATATAATTCCTTCATTTCTGGGAGATTTCTGTTGTTGCTGATTAGTCCCTCCTCTTTATTAAACAAGAAGGTTTCAAAAGGAGAATTTATTGCATTTGAGGGGAATTTCACTTTTGTTGAATTTAGTGAAACTTGTAGGCTATATATGAATTACTGGTCGTTTAAGGTTCTTAGAGTTAAATGTTTGGATGATGTCACTCTTCAATTGTAATGATTTCTTGCTGCCATTTGATTGCCCTCTATGTTTGCCATATGATTTCTTTTGCTTTCTGTATGATCTTTGAATGCAATGAAATAAATTGGTAAATCTTCCTCAATATGGATAACTGCTTGCATCCAGATGCTTGTGATTTACCAAAAAAAAAAAAAAATTCTCTTTCAGCTACAACCGTTTAGGTGGGGATGCTGAAGAGTCAGATGCAGAGGAGCTTATTCAGATGGCCAGTAAAGCTTCTGTTGCTGATCAACAAAAGCAAGTCCAAGAAAATGTCCATTCTCAACTTAAATCTTTTTGCACATTCATGGATGAGATTCTTCTTCCCGATGTTAATAAGACAAATACTGCTCCAGCAGTTGATTCTCCAGTATCAAGTAAAGCTCATCATCGTAGTGGCCTTAGTTTTGCTGTAGGTGGAAGTGGATCAACTGAGAAAAGATCTGGTGAGTTCTTTAACACAAATCTCATCCTTTTCCATGTCAAGCATTGTGTTTCCATTCGTTAAGATGGATGGCCTTGATGGACTGACCATTATAGTCATTTCTGAGCATGTTCAGTTGCCAGAACCCCAAATTGAGAAAAGGATAACCTGCAGGATCAGACATTTACAAAGTCTATTCTGTTAATCAATAGGTTTGCATTAGCCCTCAGTACTTAATTAGCTTGCACTTTGACTTTACTGATCTGCCTCATTTCAGCGAGGAGAGTTGGGCATGTTGGTAGGGGTAAGGCCTACATGATACGTGATGTGAACAACATTAGCAATCAGGTTGGCCTTCGCCCTGAAGTGGGATTGTAGTTGCTGGAATTCCAGGGGATGCATCATATGCTAATTTTGAGAACTTAAGCATTTTCAACACAGAAGTTCTCAGTTTGGTGCTTTGAATGTGCTTCAAAGGGATTTTTTATCAACTTTCTCAGTATAGGGGGAAATTTGAGATTTACTTGTTTTTGGTCAGTGCAGGTGAGGAGTTTCTAGTCAATTCACGCTTGCTGTTAGATTTAAAGTAGTCAAAGAAGTGCCAAAGTTTTATGATCCGAGTCTGCTAGATTTGGAAAAACATCCGCACAATCTTTTAGTTTGTTAAAATAGTATTAGGAAGAACATTTGCCCAAACATTTGCACGCGTATCTTTTCCCCGTAAGTATATGGATAAAACTTCTGTACTGAATAGCAGTTCGGTTAGCGACCAAAAAAAAAAAAAAGAATAGCAGTTCAGTGCTTTAGTCTCTGATGTAACAAAGACAGGAGATACAGACGGGAAGAAGTATTCAGTAATGTATTTTTGAAGACATAAGATTGGTCAAACTGCAAGATTTTTAATCATATCTGCATAGGAGGTTTTACAGTCTGGGAACGTGTTGGAGCTAGGAAGCATCATCCATTGTGTAAGCTTGAGTAAAATAATTCTATTTCCTTCTTTTGTTGCTGCATGATGTTTAGGTGCGAATGAAATATTCAGCAAATCAAGAAATGTCAAGGCTTCCTAGAAGGACTATCGCATGTTTAGTTATGTGTAGCGCTTTCTCTCTTTCTCTGTGTTCCATTTATCTTTCACATGCTCAATGTTAAGGTGCAACACAAAGTACTGGTGAATCAAGTAATGTTAAAGCTTCTTAGCAGCATTATCCATTTGTCCAGCTAGTATGGCGCTGTCTCTATTTCTCAAAAAGCCATATGGTACTTTATCTTCCAAAATACTCAAAGTATGTAACTTGTGCCACACGACAGTCACAAGATTGCAGAGAACAAGTGGAAGACATATAAATCTATGCATTTAAAGGTAGTTTCCTGCTTCCTGTAGTGAAATTTTGCTGTGCAATCTGCTATGGAACCCAGTCCTTCAAAAGTCTGGCTATTGCAGTTGGCACCAGATGCTATCCTCTTCCAGGCCTGTTCCAAGATCATTTTCTGTAGGGAATTATTATTCTCCTACTTTAGATAATGATCTTTATGAGTCGACAATAGGAGCTTATCCTTGCTTCTCAACTTCATATCTTTCAAACTGGATTTAGGAACAACAGCCATACCACAGTTGACTATGTAATAATTTGCTTGGAGGATGTACTCGGTGTTCATATATGTGGGATTGGGTTTTATTTAGATATGCAAGAATGAATGAGCGTGGATGATTCATGTCATTAAGATACGAATGAACAGTTCATTATTGTGTTGAGGCATGACTTTTGAGTTTATCTCCACCTGCCTTTTTTAACATCAGACAGAATATATCTGGGCATCTCCTCTAAGTTTTGCTTTTTTTGTTCCTCTTTCTGGAAACAGGGTGAATTATTTTGTATCTCAGTACTTATATTATTCTTTTCAGCACAGCCATAACGGAGACAAGGCCATGGAAATGCACTGAAGTCTCTCAAAGATTAAAGGATCGTATGGGCTACACCCTTGCTGTTAAACCATCTCAAATTCCACATAAGGATGCCGGCCAAGGTTTATTTATAGATGGCGAGGCTCAAGTCGGTACCGTGGTAGCCTTTTACCCTGGGGTCATATATTCCCCTGCATATTACCGGTATATTCCTGGATATCCTCGGGTTGACGCTCAGAACCCATATTTAATCACTAGGTATGATGGCACCGTGATAAATGCTCAGCCTTGGGGTGCTGGTGGCGATGCCCGAGAAGTGTGGGATGGCTCTAGTGCAATGGATATCAACCCTAATATGCAAAACAATGAAAGTGCATCTGACCGGGTTTGGAAGGTCCTTAGTAAGCCTTTGGAAGGAAGACAAGGGGGAAATAATGTCGATGTGTTGGAGCGTAGAAATCCACTTGCTTTGGCTCATTTTGCTAATCACCCTGCGAAGGGCATGGATCCAAATGTAATGATTTGTCCTTATGACTTTCCTCTGACTGAGAAGAACATGAGAGCTTATATTCCAAATATATTGTTCGGAAGGGTAGAAGAAGCTAATATGAGAAGATTTGGCAGCTTTTGGTTCAAGTGGGGAGGTTTAGGGAATAGCGGGTTAGAGATTCCTACTTTGAAGACAATAGTTCTGGTGGCTACTCGGGCACTATGTGATGAAGAAGTGCTCCTGAACTACCGTCTGAGTAATGCAAAGCGACGACCAGCATGGTATGTTTCAGTTGATGAAGAGGAAGAACGAAGAAGGTGGAGCTAGGCTGGTGATTGTTGGGACATGGACACTGCCTGGTCTCTGTACAAGAGAACTTTGTCACTGCTTAGGATTGTAATGCGAGTTCATGCTACTTTTTCATTGGATGTTTCAGGGATCATATACCTCAGCTTCAGAGCTGCAGTGGTCGACTTTTCTTTAGTTGCTGGATTCTAGCTTCTCAGGAAGGCGAGAGGTACCAGTTCCACAAGTTCTTGTCATATTTTTGGGATAGGCAGCAAAACTGTTGCTGAAATTGATGTTACTTTTGTTGTGCTTTAGAAAGATTAGGAAAATAATGCACATTGCCATATGAATAATTTATTTTCACCATTCTTTTTGGTGATACCATTGAAATTCTAACACAGGCGACTTTGAAATGTCATTCCTTTGATCCTTCCCATGGACCAAGATGTGGCGGTAAGAATTAAACTAGAAGGATTTGTTGCTTGCAAAGTCTTGTTCCTTGGATGCCTCTAGCTCTTTACAGATGACTTGCAATCTCATGTGAACTGTGGAGGTACACTGAGCATCACAAGTATGCGATGGTGCAAAAATGTCTGTTAATTTATCGATCATGATAGTGATAAATCTGTAAGAATGGTTAGTCACAGCTGAGATTGGTATTTTAGTTGACAGAGATGATGAAGGGACTTTCCCTTTTTTCTGGGTTGGTAGATGGAAAGGATTTTTCTTAGCACAGACTTAAAGCTTTAAGTCTCAACTTGTTCATTACCATGATTCCTTAGAACAGGGTGCTCATCTTGTTCAATATCCTGAACAGTTACTCCATCAGCAGCTTTTCTATGTGCATGATCGTGAAACTCCACAAACAATAACAAGTGTAGCCTTAATGATTATCACACTCCATGTACTCAAAGTGCCCTCGGCGTAATCATCCTGTCGATTTGCCATACGGACCCAAAACATCGAAAACCATCGTCCTTTTTCCTATGAACAGGAGCACGAATCCCTGCATACTCATCGTCAGCTTCAACAAGCAGCCACTATTCGCCGAAAATTTAGGTTAGGATGTAATTCCACTCATCGATGCCGTCGACCTATATATTGAGAGGAAACGCGTTCGTCCCAATCCCTCTGAAGAGATTTTATCTTTACAATGTAGTGTTGCTGGAGTATATTATTCACTCTGGCAATACGGCAATCTCTTCGGCGAGAGCAAGTTATCATGTAATGGGGCTTCTGTACATAGTATTTTAACAACCTCAACGAGGTGGGAATTTCCCACTGATGGGAATTTCCCACTCTTTTGTCGTTGTTTTTTTTCTTCTTTTATTATTATTATTATTATTATTTGAATCATTTGGGACGTTGTGACGGTTCGCATCCCCTTGGAACTTTTTGGCATTGAGTTTTTTTGCAAAAGTACAAGAGAAAAGAGTCGATTAAAATGAGTATAAAATCGCTTCTTGTAATTTTCTTATGAGATTTGTCACTTTTTCTTAAAAGAAAATACTTTGCGAATTTAAAAAATTCGCCTTTAAATGGTGAAAACGAAAAACGGAGGGATTCTTGCCTTTTTTTAGGGTTATAATTGATAAAAACAAAAATTTCAAACATGCATAGTGTGTGTGTCTGTCTGTCAGTGTGTGTTATGTCGTCAACAATTATCTAGGATTGCATACATTTTTTCATCCTCAATTTATGCTATTACTTTCAATTTTCTCTTACAATTTGTGCACTTCACTTCTTGCAATTACTTTTTTTCCCGTACCACTAGATGTCAAATAAACACATCTGTTTTCCTTGTTTATATAATGATCAAATGGTAACCTTGACCAATTAAATGCTATCATTTAATTGCGTGTCAATGAACCCAAAAGACCAAGACTAAAGATAAAAAAAAGGGCAAAAGTATACCAGAAGTGCAACAACTTGTGTACGGAGATCACTTTGGTGCCATAACTTTTTTTCGGATCACTTTGGTGCCAAGTCGGAGGAAAATAGATCACTTTAGTGACTCCGACCAAAAAGCTAACCTGGCATTTATATTTTTAAAAAAATGGTCTGACTTGTACACGTGGAAATTATGTGACTTTTTTTCGAATTTTTTAATTTTTATAAAAAAAAATAATTAAAAAAAAAAAAAAAGGTTGCAGCAGCGGCGAGGGAGCCCTCACCGCTGCTGCCGCCAACCCACTACCGCCGGGAAGGGCCGGCGGTGGTGGGCGCAGTGGTGGGCGAGGGTCGCCGGGGCTCGGCGACCCTCGCCTCACCCAAGCAAGGGCCGGATCCGGCTAGGCGAGACCTCGCCGTCGCGACCCGAGCGACGGCGAGGTCCGCCTCGCCTTTACTAGGTGAGACGAGGCCGACCTCGCCGTCGCGACCCGGGCGACGGCAAGGTCCGGCCTCGCGACGGCGAGGTCTCGTCTCGCCCGGCGAAGGCGAGCCGACCTCGCCGTCGCGACCCGGGCGACGGCGAGGTCGGCCTCGCCTTCTGGGCGAGGCGAGACCCCGCCGTCGCGACCCGGCGACGGCAAGGTCCGGCCTCGCCTTTGTTGGGCGAGGCGAGAGCTCGCCGTCGCTTGGGTTGCGACGGCGAGGTCTCGCCTCGCCGGATCTGGCCCTCGCTGGGCGAGGCGAGGATCGCCGGGCCCCGACCAGGGGCCAGCGACCCTCGCTGGGCAAGGCGAGGCGAGGATCGCCGGGCCCCGACCAGGGGCCAGTGACCCTCGTCGACCACTGCGCCCACCACCGCTGGCCCTTCCCGGCGGTGGTGGGTTGGCGGCAGCAGCGGCGAGGGCTCCCTCGCCGCTGCTGCAACCTTTTTTTTTTTTAATATAATATAATTTTTTTTTAAAAGTACACGTCAGCGGGCTAAACGGCGTCGTTTTTGGTTTTTAATGCTGACTAGACCTTTCCGGCGAGGTGTGTCAGGGCCACATCGGATTTCCGGCGAGCCACATTAGCATTGGCACTAAAATGATCGTTTTTCAAAAAAGTTGACACCAAAGTGATCCAAAAAAAAGTTATGGCACCAAAGTGATCTCCGTATACAAGTTGTAGCACTTCTGGTGTCCTTTTGCCGATAAAAAAGGAAGACAAATTTTTTTTATTTCACTTGGAAAATTAGATTAATATAAATACCCTTGTTGAATTTTATTTTATTTTTATCCAGGTTAGAAACCGGCTACTGTGAAACATCCCGCATACTCCCATGAACCAGTTGAATCCAAGTCCTTGATCTATGCGGAAGGCTTCCGACCGGGAATAGTTTGCAAACGATGAGATTTGCACGAACGATCTCCAATTTCCGAATCGAAACTTCCATATGCCTCAACTGAGTGTCCGAGTTCAGGAGTTAGCATTTTATAACTCGTTTGCATTCCGTGAAAAGCTTCGCATGTCTGTTTCGTAGGTTCTAGGGTAGCATTTCACAGGTTATAGGGTAAGTTTCAGGATTTAATAATTTTTTTTATTTCATTTTAGTTAAACAAAATGAAAATGAACTCAACAATACTAAACAAGCTTGTCATTTACCAAAGAGAATACAAAAGACTGATTTTCCTAGTATTACGATTCAAATAAATACAATTAAACTGAAAAATCATTGTGTAAATTAATACTAGGAGTAAGCGGTTCTATGTTTCGCACAGGTTTCACTTAGTGGAACCTGCCCATGAGAATAAATTCATCATTTTTTGGAACTTGGAACTTACTCTATTACAGGTTCCAGGGTCGGTTTCAAGTTTTACCTAGGTTCCACCTATATTGTTAATTGAATAATTGCAGTGAATTATTACCTTTAATGACTACCACTTGCTGTTATGATCCACTGACCATAACTTATATTTAGACACACAAAGAATATGAAATATTAACAAGTCATAAAATGAAAACTCAAATTAATGATTCTAGATTATACACTCATCATCTAACGCCATGAAACACCGCAGGATCACGTGAAGACATAGACCAAGAAAAAACATAAAAACCTTATTTAGGTTTCAGGTTCTAGGTTCCGCCTACTTAGAACCTGGAACCTACCCGTCGAAATAGGTTCCCCAATTTTTAGAATGTAGAACCTACCCTGCATACCTTGGAACTTGAAACCTGCAGATTCTTACAGGTCAGGTTATCAGGTTTCAGGGTAAAACCTGGAACCATACTAACCCCTAATAAGAACCATGTTATGCACATTTCATTCAGCAAATTTCGAAGCACGCACAAAAGAACTTTAGGAAATGGCCCTCTCAGCCATAGCTCTGTGCCTTTGCCTCTGCCTCCTCTTCGTCGTGGGAACGAATTGGCCCCGAGATTGGGGCGCGGCAAGAGGCCGATTGCATCACTGCCCTCCCCGCCCAACCCCCGGTGAGCTTCCGCAGCTACTCCGGCTATATCTCAGTGGACGAGGGCCCCAGGAAGGCTCTCTTCTACTGGTTCTTCGAGGCGACCCTCGAGCCAACCCGCTAAGAAGCCTCTCCTCTTGTGGCTCAACGGAGGTACTATTGCAAAGAATTTCGTCACAGAGTTAATACTCTTACATTAATGTGTCACATATATCCTATAGTAATTATTTTTTTACTTATGTTCATTAAATCTCCACACTTATATTTACATACTATATTTGCAGGCCCGGGATGCACCTCAGTCGGGTTCGGCGAGGCCCAAGAACTTGGCCCGTTTCTCGTGAAAGATGGGCCCGACGGCCCGACCCTAAGATTCAATAACTATACTTGGAACAAAGGCATGTTGGATATTTCCTTTCTTTCTTTTCTCAGCTTAATTAGAACGAAAAGAAGTATATTTATTTGGCATTCTAAATTAAATCAATCGGGCATCTCGAATGTCCTAGTTATAACATCATATATCATATCGTAAATAAAGTCCTGCTTTTTTTTCCCTTAATAATCGCAGCTGCGAATCTGTTATTCCTCAAATCGCCGGTCGGTGTCGGATTTTTTTTACTCGAACGCTACCGTGGAACACGGCAACAACAATACAAGTTTGCAAAAATTAAATTGATCAGCAGATCCTTAAAGATAACCTCATTTACTAAAATGAAATTCTTCATTTGCAATTATTGACAGCAAGAGATGCCCACACATTTCTATTGAATTGGTTCAAAAGGTTTCCGCAGTACAGATCAAGCGAGTTCTATATGGCAGGAGAACGCTATGCAGGTTACTAATTATCGACCCTAATTTTACAATTAATTTTACAAGTTTTTCAATTATCAATTTTTATTTTTTATTTTTTAGAGAACTTATATTTAATCTATTAATTAATTTGCTAATTATATTCCTCCTGTTCAGGGCACTATGTACCACAACTTGCTGAGGTTATTTACGACGAGAACCAAAAATCAATTGAAGACACTTTCATAAACCTTCGAGGCGTCATCGTGCGTACCAAATTCGTCACTAAACTCAAATCTTATTTGATGATTTCTCGCGTTATATCCACTGATACAAATGGAAAAAAAAGTTACTTACGAAAACTATACAAACGTGCAGATGGGAAATCCGTACATGGATTTCGAGACGGATTTCACGGGGATGGTCGATTACGCTTGGGACACACCCTGATTTCGGATAATGCCTACAGTTCAATCAAGGCCAAATGCGACTTTAGTCACGTAAATCAGACTAAAGATTGTATTAGTGTATTCGACGAGTACAGCAAATTGTACAAGATGATCGATATGTACAGTTTGTACTCCTCGACTTGTCCGCTTGGCCGACCCTTCGCCACCAACCGTCTCTTAAACACGCGAGCCGAAGCGGACGCGCCTGATTATCATCTGGTAGTCGCCCTTTTCTTCCTTAATTTTTTGTCCCTGCACTTTTTCTTAATTTAACTTTTCTATTTTCCGTGGCAATTAACCTAATTTAATGACTAATCTCTCCTGATCCGACAACAACTCGTACGTACGATGCCAGCAGGCTACAATCCATACCTAATGAACCATGCCACGACTTACTTTAACCTTCCCGACGTGCAACACACATTGCACGCGAACGTCACCCGGATCCCTCGACCGTGGAGTCTTTGCAGGTGATTAAATTATAATTTCTTGATTTTCTTGAATATGAGGCTAATTATAAATATATTAATCTTTGCTAATTTCGTCCTCTAAACATTAATTAAGCATGGAGGTGAGCAATTCTTGGAAGGACGCGCCTTTTTCGGTCCTCCCAGTGCCGAAGAAACTCATCGGTGGGGGTATTCGCTTGTGGGTCTTCAGGTACTATCGATTAAATTAACTAATTAAATTAGCATCATTAATTAAATTCGATTCACGTGTTACGGTGGCAATTTTGGGTTTTTTTCTTTGTTTAACTAATCCTTTTGCGATTCGGTGGTGACACGGACGGGAGGATCCCCGTGACGTCGACTCGGTACACGCTGAACAAGCTCGGCCTTGACGTCACGGAGAACCGGAGACCGTGGTACAAGGGCAGAGAGGTAATTTCCCTAATCAGCCTCTAATTATGATAATCTAATCTGCTGGACCCTTTTAATTTTTAATGACGTCATAAATGCAGACGAAATTCAATGTGAAGGTGGCCCTATACAATAAAATCGACATTGGAATTTAATAAAGTTTATTTGAGCTCGTGAGCAATTTATATTTGGGAAAATGACACAAATAGTCCCTGAACTTTGACCCAATGTGCAATTTGGTCCCTGAACTTTTAATTTGTTCAATGTAGTCCCTGAACTTTAACCTAATGTTCAATTTGGTCCCTGAACTTTTGATTTGTTCAATGTTATCCCTGAACTTTTAATATGTGTTCAATTTAGTCCTTGAACTATTTGAAAATGTTCAATATAGTCCTTCCATTAATTCAAGTGCAGGGACTATATTGAACATTTTTATATAGTTCAGGGACTAAATTGAACACATATAAAAAGTTCATGGACCACATTGAACAAATCAAAAGTTCAGGGACCAAATTGAACATTATGTTAAAGTTCAGGGACTACATTGAACAAATTAAAAGTTCAGGGACCAAATTACACATTAAGTTAAAGTTCAGGGACTATTTGTGTCATTATCCCTTTATATTTTGTGTGTATTCTTTTTATTTATTTATTTTTTTGGGGTGGCTGAAAATTAGATTTTTTTGTGTGTGGTTCTGGGTCGGAGGTTGGACCATGACGTACGAGGGGTTGACTTTCGTGACGGTGAGAGGAGCGGGGCATCAAGTTCCCACTTTTGCCCCTAAGCGTTCCCTTCAGATCATCCGCCACTTCTTGGCCAACTCCAATCTCCCCTCCACGCCCTTTTGATTCGACTTTTTGAGCTTTGTGTGCTGAAGACAATGTCATTGGTCCATGTTTGTTTTCAAGAGTTCGATTCCTCCATTTTAAAGATTATAATTAGAAAAAATTAGCCATGCGACGGATTTGAGGTTTGGGATTTGGGACGTGACGAGGGTCGACTCCTTGAAATAAACAAAAAAAAAAAGCGAGATTTTTCTTCATTTTGCGCTTCAATGTCGTGATGTTACTTGCGTGCTCGTATGCGATTGAGTTCTTACTTCTTGGCCAACGATCATTAATTCCATCGATTGGTGCTTTGATCCAACTTTCAAATCCTCGACTCATGCTAGCGAAACGTGCAAAACAGTAAGTAGATGACATGCAAAATTTTGAGCGAAGATATTTTATAAATTTAGAGCTCTAAATAGTTGAGAAAGGGGGTGCATACTCGAATTGATGGTAAATTCAAATCGGGTCATTATGTTCTTGCCAATGTCTTTTCATGCTAATCCAAATATCATCGGGCATGGTCTTCTCTCTTCTTTCCTCCTTATTTGGGCTCCCGATGGGAAGCACAATGTAATGAAGTTGAAAGTAGGAGATGGTACTAAATCTTCTTATTAAAAAGAGTATGCTAAATGTAATAAAGTTGGAATATAAATTTCATACGATAAATAAACATATAAATAAATGGATCATATTCAACACTTAATAAGAGCCTGGCACGTCATTAAAAAATATCTCGCCATGCATGCATGGTTGAATAGAGTTCCGGACATAGCCCAAAATGAGCACCCTTGTATCTCTCTCAATATGACTCAATGGAGCGCCCATGTCTCTCTCTCTCAATCTAATTCAATGTGCCACTGCATTGCTCTTTGGATTGGCTTAAGACCCTAGCCCCAAATTCCCTAAATCGATTGAATTGAGCGCCTTGTATCTCTCCGTTTCTCTCTTTCCGTGATTGAATCAAGCCCCCCAAAGTGAAGACCTAATTCCCCATGGACGACGTCGTTTTGGTGAAGGGAGGGCACGGCGTCATTGGGATTTTGACGTGGCAGTCGCCGTTCACCATATCATCCTCCGTTCGTCACATCAGATGCCGGTTTGCAAATTTGGACGAAAGCTCTGATGATGGCCAAATTCGTCTCTCGAACAAAAGCTCGGGCCTCTTCACGAGACACTCGAACATTATGGCTAAATTTGTTCTCGAAACGAAAGTTCGACGCCCTTTCTTTCTTTCTTTCTTTCTTTCTTTTGAGAAAGATCCCAATTTCTTTTTCGAGAGCACATGCAGCTCATCGTTCATTAATGGAATGATTAGATAAGATAACACACATGTGCAGATCATCCTTAAACGAGCATAAGCTATGCACCGGCAACAATGTGGGTTGATGAACACACCAAAGTCTGTCGAAGATTTCGATTAAAACCATTGACTCGACCGAGATCTTTTCCATTTTCCAAACTGCATTGATTGAGAGGATGCTTCCCGGACGCCCTCAAAGAAGAAAGGACCCACCACCAATTTCTTTGACTTCCATTTCGCAAGATAGCAGCAAACTTTCAACCATAAAAAGACGTTTGATTCCGTTCCCCAAATGGCAAAATTCACTTTCAAGGGCATCGAGATCCCGTCGTGCGTGCTTCCATGATCAAAATCATAGTAATTCTCGAACGAGTCGATCATGTACACTCAATCGATTTGCGAAGCGATGTATAACTTTCGAAGACTGCATATTCGGGTATAAATAGGACATGATGAGAACCATGTCATGCGCGTCTCATTCAGCAAATCTCGAAACGCAAGCTTTGGAAAATGGCCCTCTCACACGTAGTTTTGTTGTGCCTTTGTCTCTGCCTCTCGGCCTCTGCCTCCTCTTCCCCGTTGGAACGAAATGACCCCGAGATCATGGCGCGGCAAGAGGCCGACCGTGTCACCGCCCTCCCCACCCAGCCCCCCGCGAGCTTCCGCCACTACTCCGGCTACATCTCGGTGGACGATTTCCTCGGGAAGGCTCTCTTCTACTGGTTCTTCGAGGCGACGAGCCAACCCGCTGCGAAACCTCTCCTCTTGTGGCTCAATGGAGGTACTGTTGCAAAGAATTCCATTACAGAACTAACTTTTACGTGAATGTGCCGCTTGAAAACCAAAAATGTCGGGCCAAAAATTATCTTTATATCCGATTTGACGGGATTAGCGAGCTGATTATTTTTACTTATTTTCATTAATCTCCAACATTTATATTGCGTCCTATGTTTGCAGGCCCAGGATGCAGCTCGGTCGGGTACGGCGAGGCCCAAGAACTCGGCCCGTTTCTCGTGAAAGAAGGGCCCGGCGGCCCGACCCTAAGATTCAACAACTATACTTGGAACAAAGGCATGTCAATTGTCCTAATTACGACATCATATATTTCGTCGTACCGCGAAATAACACCTCGTCTTTGTTCTTTTCCTTACTAATCGCAGCCACGAATCTGTTGTTCCTCGACTCGCCGGTCGGTGTCGGGTTTTCTTACTCCAACGCCACCGTGGAATACGGCGACAACAGTACAGGTTCGTAAAAACTAAATCGATTAGTAGATTCTTAAAGATAACCTCATTTTACTGAAGTGAAATTCTATGGGATTGTTAACAGCAAGAGATGCCCACACATTTCTACTGAATTGGTTCAAAAGGTTCCCGCAGTACAGATCAAGCGAGTTCTATATGGCAGGAGAGAGCTATGCAGGTTGGTAATTATCAATTTCTTTTATTATTCTAGAGAACTTATATTTAATCTATTAGTTAATATGGTAATTATATTCCTCCTTTTCAGGGCACTATGTACCACAACTTGCTGAGGTTATTTACGATGAGAACCAAAAATCAATTGAAGACACTTTCATAAACCTTAAAGGCGTCATCGTGCGTACCCAATCTCCACTAGACTCGATCTTGTTCGAAGGTTTTCCGTGTTATATCCACTGATACAATTGAATAAATTACTTGCAAAATTTCTGAATATGCAGGTGGGAAACCCGTCTATGGATGACGAGAAGGATATGAAGGGGAGGATCGATTATGCGTGGGGACACGCCCTGATTTCGGACGATCTCTATATTTCAATCAAGGCCAAATGCGACTTCAGTAACGAAAATGTGACCAATGATTGTTTTAATGCATTACTCGAGTATTACAAATTGTACAAGATAATCAACATGTACAGTTTGTACTCCCCGACTTGTCCGCCCGATCGACCCTTCGCAAATCATCTCTTAAACACGCGAGCCAAAGTGGGCACACGTAATTATCATTTGGTAGGTGCCCTTTTCTTCCTTTAATGTCATATGTCCCTTCTCTTTCTTTCTTTTTTTTTCAATCTAACTTTTCTATTTCCCGCGATGATTAGCTTAATCTAACGACTAAACTCTCTTGATCCGACAGCTACTCTTACGTGTGATACTAGCGGGCTACGATCCATGCCTGGCAAACCACGCCACGGCTTACTTTAACCTTCCCGACGTGCAGCGCGCCTTGCACGCAAACGTCACCCTAATCCCTCGACCGTGGAGCCTCTGCAGGTGATCAAATTATAATTTCTTGATTTTTCTTGAACATGAGGCTAATTGTAAAGATATTGATCGATCTTTGCTAATTTTGGGGTCAAATATTAATAATTCAGCTGGGATGTGAACCTTTCTTGGAATGACACGCCCTCTTCAGTCCTTCCGGTACTGAAGAAACTCATCGGTGGGGGTATCCGCTTATGGGTCTTCAGGTAAGTCGATCGATTCAATTCACATTCATTAATTGAATTGGCAATTTTTGGTTTTCCCTCCTTTTTTTTTTGCCTCTCTGTTTCGATTAATCCTTTTCGCGTGTTTCAGCGGAGACACGGACGGGAGTGTCCCGGTGACGTCGACTCGGTACGCGCTGAACAAGCTCGGCCTCAACATCACGGAGAATTGGAGGGCGTGGTACAAGGGCAGGGAGGTAATTTCCTCGATCGGTCTTGTGAGCAATTTATATTTTTTAATCGCGTTAAAAATGCGGAGGAAATTCAATGTGATGGTGGCCCAATTTATTTGAGCTCGTGAGCAATTTATATTTCGTGCGTGTTCTCCTTATTTATTTTATTTAATTTAATTTTTTTTTTATTGGGTGTGGCTGAAAATTAGATTTTTTTGTGTGTGGCTCTAGGTTGGAGGTTGGACGATGACGTACGAGGGGTTGACTTTCGTGACGGTGAGGGGAGCAGGGCATCAAGTTCCCACTTTTGCCCCTAAGCGTTCTCTTCAGATCATCCGCCACTTCCTAGCCAACTCCAAGCTCCCATCCATGCCCTTTTGATTTCGACTTCTGTTTTTTTTTTTTTTGAACTTTGTGTGCCGTGTGTGCTGAAGGAGACAATGCGTCAGTGATTTGTGGCTGTTCACGACGCTTATGATATAAATAAAAATCCCTTCTTATCTCGTCTATTCGAACAAGAAGAAAATATGTATGAGCTCGATTCATCTAGTTGGTGCTTCTAGAAAATTAGCTTCGCGACGGACGAGAGATTGGGGGGCTCGGGACGCGATCGGGATCGAATTTCGAAATAGGGAGGGATTAAGGGCAATGGTTTTCTTTATTCCGCGCTCCGATGTCGTGATGTTACTCATCCGAGTGCGATCTATTTAGTTCTCAGCCGGTGATCGTCGATTTCGTCGTCTTCTCCTTTAAATCCGGCTTTCGAATAGTCGACTAACTCTAGCGGAACCTGCGAATAGTATGTCGATGATGTATGTAATTTTAAGGGATGATTTTTATGAATTTAGAACTCTAAATAGTCGAGAAAGGGGCTCGTACTCGAACTGATTTTAAAATTCCAATGTCTTTTGGTGCTAATGCAAATAAAATGGCGCATGATCTTCTTCTATTCTCGCCTCGTTATTTGGGCTCCTAATGGGAAATACAAATTAATAAAATTGAAAATAGGAGGAGATGGTACTTGTTCTGCATGTTGCAAAGAATAATACTACATGTAATAATAAATAGACATATAAAATAGATTGGTCATATTCAACACTTAATAAGAGTCCGTCATGTCATTCAAAATTATCAATTTTTCCAATAACTTTAATATATCAGCTATTTAAACTTAATCTTAATACACTTAACATTGTTTCGTTCCTTTACAAAAGGCTCAACGTGCTTCACTTCTAAAGGATGGCTTGTTCAATTTGATTCAATTGAGCACCCTTGTCGCTCTCTCAATCCGATTCAATGCACTGCCGCATTGCTCTCTCCGACCGGATCGGCTCAAGAACCCTAGCTCCAAATCCTCTAAATTGGTCGAATCAAGCGCCTTGTATATGTCCGTCTCTCGCTCGCTCTCTCAATCTGATTGAATCAAGCTCTCGAAATCGAAGACCTAATTCTCCATGGCCAACATCGTTTTGACGAAGATAGGACGCGAAGTCGTTTTGTTCGGGAGTTTGCGCCACATCACACAATGTGGCAGTCGCCGTGCGGCGACTCTAACAATGAATAAATCTATCTCTTGGATAAAAATCGGGGCTCGAATGGCCAAATTTTTCATTACAATGAATAAACATATAAATAGGTGAGTCATATTCAACACTGAATAAGAATCTGTCACATCATGTAAAAATATCTTGTCATGCGTGCACCGTAGAACGGAGCTATGGACATTGCCCAAATTGAGGGCCCTCGTATCTTTCTCAATATGACTTGATCAGAGTGCTCCTAAAGTGAAGACCTAATTCTCCATGGACGACATCGTTTTATTTGAGAGTTTTGGCCACGTTAGCTGACATGGCAATCGCCGTTCATCGCATCATCCTCCGTTCGTCGCATCGGAATGCCAGTTTGCAAATTTTGGACGACAACTCTAATGGTGGCCAAATTTGTCTCTGGAATAAAAGCCTGGACCTCTTTTGCGAGACACTCGAAAATTATGGCTAAATTTGTCCTTGAAACGAACGTTCGATGCCCTTTCATTTTTGAGAAAGATCTCAATTTCTTTTTCGATAGACAGATTTTGGCGGAAAACACCGCACATGCAGCTGCACCATTCATTAATGGAAGGATTACATAAGATAACACACACGCGCATGCAGATCATCCTTAAACGAGCATAAGCTATGTGCTGGCAACAATGTGATTTGGTGTACATACCAAAGTCTGTCGAAGATTTCGATTAAAACCATCGACTCCAACTGCGGATCTTTTCCATTTTCCAAACTGCATTTGACGAAGAGGATGCTTCCTTTGAGTTTGAGGGACTTCCTCAAAGAAGATAGCGGCAAATTTTCAACCCCAAAAAGATATTCTATTCCGTTCGCCAAACGGCAAAATTCACTTTCAAGGGTATCAAGATCTCGTCGTGCATGCAATCCGTAATCAAAATCATAGTAATTTTCGAACCAGTCGATCACGTCCGTACACCGGAGACAGATGCAAGCACTGATCCGAGGAGCTCTCTGAGTCTCCTCTTTTTCTCTCTCGCTTGAAGAGCTCCCCTCTACCCCAAGGGGTAGTTATACCTTTCCCTTTACCCATCACCAAACCCTAATTTCTGTTACCGCACCACCTTCGCTGATCATTCCTCTCCTCTTGGCTGCAATGGATTGGAATTTTTTATCTGTCTCCAAAGATTTCGCTTTCATCAGGAAGCTCAGAAGCTCCCCAACCTTGGCAATGGCTGAGTTATGATTCGTCTGGACCGTCATCTGGGAAGATCGCCTGGTGGGTCATGGCTTCATCGCTCCATAAGATCCGTTAATCCGGCTCTGTTATTCTGTCCGGTTTCTTTTTCTCTCGCTTGAAGAGGTTCCCATCCACCCCCATGTGCTGCTCACTCCTGTCCTATTGGCTGCAATGGATTGGTCTATGCTTTGGACTTTGCCTCCTCGCTCTGGGTATGCTTTCCTCGGCTCTCACGATGGAAAGGTCGTCGTTTAGCATGTTGGATTCTGAGCTGGGATAGTACTTTGGGTGTCTCAATGCTGTTTTTTTTCTTACTGAAAAAAGGAGTTGGTAGTTGTCTAAGGTGCTGGAGATAACCCAGGAGGAAGTATGCCTAGTAACTGCTCGATAAAATTACTGAATGAGAGAAAAAGCTTATGGATGACTTTCACCTATTCTGCGATGGTTTTTAACTACTAAACGGGGAGATGTTTGCTACAAATAAGCCTAGTAGTCTTGATTGGGTATGCGAGTTTTTTTCTGGGTAACATATTTCTGAAGCTCCCTCTTCACTCGGCATCGGGGTGTGCTTCGGCGTAGGAGCTCTATTTTGCCTTTGGCCCGCACGGCTCAGAGCTATCCTTTATTTGGAACTACAATGGAGGAGGATGAAGTTTCAGAGGCTCGCTTAGCTGCACTATGTAGTAAACTGGGTACTTTATGGTCAGAAAGCGACTTAGCAGTAATCGATGGAGCGGTTTCAAATGAGAGACTACAAGAATGCCGGTTGACTCTGCTCGGCCAACTGTTCTCAAATCCGACCATTAACTTCCAAGCTTTCCAAAGCACTATGAAGAAAGCGTGGAGAGTTGACTCGGTGAATATTACTCAGGAAGACCAAAGGACTTTTGCTTTCGCTTTCAAAACGGAGCTTGAGTTGAAAAGGGTCTTAGAGACTGGACCTTGGTCTTTCTCTAACAACCTAGTGGTGCTCAAAACGTATATACCGGATGTCCCACTCCCAAACTATGAATTCACACACTGTGATTTTTGGGTCCAAGTGCACGGTTTGCCTTTGAATTGGATCTCGGAGGAATCCATCAGGAGAATCACAGCAGCTGCTGGATGTGTTTCTGATGTTAGGACTGACCCAAAGGCTTCACCAAACTTCTCAAATGGTAAGGCCAAAGTAAAAATCGACTTAACGGCCCCTTTGAAGCCCGGAACAATAGCTAGCCAAGGAGGGAGGAAATTGTGGGTGGACTTCCGATACGAGAGGTTACCACATTTCTGCTATGCTTGTGGTCGTATAGGGCACTATGCTAAGTTCTGCGAAGTCAAGCATTACGACGAGAACATGCTTGAAACTGACGAACCCGGATGCTTTGGACTTTGGCTTCGTGCTGAATCGAGAGAGTGGAGCCCCCTTTGGAAATCTTTTCAGGCTAGGCCTAGGAATGTAGATATGGATGATGACATCGTCCCTGAAACTCCATCCCCTTCACTTCAGATGGTGGCTTTTGAATCGAGAGGCAAGAGACCACTAATTCCAAGTGGTGAGAAGGCGACGGAGAAGCCGGGGATGTCCTCTGTTTTTAATCCGGAAGAAAGAGGAGCAAGTGTTAGTGGCTCCAGAGAAGGTCTCCAGCAACAGTTATTGCTGATCAAAGCTCCAGTCTCTACCCTAGGGACAGAAGGGAGCTCTCTTGGTTATCAAAAGACAAGGAGTAAGGGAAAGAGATCAGTAAGCAGCAAGACCCAGAGAAGGTATAGCCCTTACTCTCCCCAGAAGGTAATCGCTCCCGTCTTGGACGAAACCCAACTTTTAGATACCCCTATCCAAGTTCTGGTTGATTCTCAAGTACGGGCTTTGGTGGCTAGCCCTAATAAGCCACCGGGTGTCCCATGAATATCTTAAGTTGGAATTGTCAGGGGTTGGGCAATCCCCTGACAAACCGGGAACTGCGTGTCTTAGTGGCACGTGAGAGGCCCAGCATCATTTTTTTGATGGAAACAAAAAACAAAGAAGAAATTATCTTGAGGCTGAAGAGACAGCTTTGTTTCCAGTTTAGTGTAGTGGTAAACCCAACGGGTATCGCAGGGGGGTTAGCGGTATTATGGACTGATCTGGTCTCGTTAAAGGTGGTAAGTGCCTCGTCGGAGCTGATTGACCTAATTTGCTTGGAAATAGGAAGCCAACACCATATGAGAGTCACTTTTGTTCACGCTACAACAGTATACCAAGAAAGGCTCCAACTCTGGGGGAAATTACAGCTAGTTGGCCAAGCCAACCATCTCCCGTGGATTTGTATGGGAGATTTCAATGAGATCTTGCACCCGTGGGAAAAGGTTGGAGGATGTAGGGCGGATTATTACAGGTTAGCTGCATTTCGAGACTTTCTTAGTGGATGTTCCTTTATGGATGTAGAGAGCAAGGGTTGCGCATTTACATGGGCAAACAATAGGGATGGGGAGGCACACATCAAAGAGCGACTTGATAGAGTTTTATGCAATGTGGAGTGGAGAGTAATGTACCCAAATGCACAAGTTCTTGCCCTTCCTGCGGTCGGCTCGGATCATAGTCCCCTATTGCTTTCATTATCAGCAACAACCATAAAAAGGAAGAGGGAATTCAAGTTTGAAGCATACTAGCTAGAAGATGAAGAATGTAGAAGAGTTGTTCAGTCAATGTGGAGCATACCAGGATTGGAAAATGAGAAACTCCTGAGGAAATTACAAAGAGTATCAGAAGCTTTAACGAAATGGAGCAAAGAGAAGTTCTCAAATGCGAAACGCCAAATTGAA